GGTTACTTCCTTTTGGGTGGCAGCTGGCCGGGCTGCTTGCTGTGTGGCTGTTCGGTTGACGGGCATGTCTTCACACAAGGGGGGGCTTTCACCGATGAATCCTTGCATGTTGGCTCCCCTGGAACACATGGGGTTGGCTTAGGGCCTCCAGGAGGAATGGTGACTGGTGGTTCCTTGCATGGCCCCTTCCCTGGAGGACATGGGGTTGGAGAAGGAATAGAGATTGGTGGCAACTGGCACTGTTGCTTCCCTTGACAACACGGTGCTGGCTCAGGGAATGCTGGAGGACCAGTGACAGGTGGTTCCTTGCATGGCCTCTTCCCTGCAGGGCATGGTGTTGGTGTAGGAGTTGTAGAAGAAGTGGTGGTTGGTGTTGAGGTAGAGGTCGTAGAAGGAGCGGTGGTTCTTCTTGGTGCAGGGTCTGGAGAAGGACCAGGGACTGGTTTTGGCTCAGGGACTGGAGGAGTAACAGGGACTGGTTTTGGCTCAGGGACTGGAGGAGTAACAGGGACTGGTTTTGGCTCAGGAACTGGAGGAGTAACAGGGACTGGTTTTGGCTCAGGAACTGGAGGAGTAACAGGGACTGGTTTTGGCTCAGGAACTGGAGGAGTAACAGGGACTGGTTTTGGCTCAGGAACTGGAGGAGTAACAGGGACTGGTTTTGGCTCAGGAACTGGAGGAGTAACAGGGACTGGTTTTGGCTCAGGAACTGGAGGAGTAACAGGGACTGGTTTTGGCTCAGGGACTGGAGGAGTAACAGGGACTGGTTTTGGCTCAGGAACTGGAGGAGTAACAGGGACTGGTTTTGGCTCAGGAACTGGAGGAGTAACAGGGACTGGTTTTGGCTCAGGAACTGGAGGAGTAACAGGGACTGGTTTTGGCTCAGGAACTGGAGGAGTAACAGGGACTGGTTTTGGCTCAGGAACTGGAGGAGTAACAGGGACTGGTTTTGGCTCAGGAACTGGAGGAGTAACAGGGACTGGTTTTGGCTCAGGGACTGGAGGAGTAACAGGGACTGGTTTTGGCTCAGGAACTGGAGGAGTAACAGGGACTGGTTTTGGCTCAGGAACTGGAGGAGTAACAGGGACTGGTTTTGGCTCAGGAACTGGAGGAGTAACAGGGACTGGTTTTGGCTCAGGAACTGGAGGAGTAACAGGGACTGGTTTTGGCTCAGGAACTGGAGGAGTAACAGGGACTGGTTTTGGCTCAGGAACTGGAGGAGTAACAGGGACTGGTTTTGGCTCAGGGACTGGAGGAGTAACAGGGACTGGTTTTGGCTCAGGAACTGGAGGAGTAACAGGGACTGGTTTTGGCTCAGGAACTGGAGGAGTAACAGGGACTGGTTTTGGCTCAGCGCCGGGGCTGGAGCAGGACCGACGACTGGGGGCCCGGCGCATAGCGGGTTCCCTGAAGGACATGGTGCCGTCTCAGGGCATGTCACTGGCTCTGGACATGCGGCGGTTCCTGGGACGTTTTTCGGCCCCTTGCAGAGTGCCGGCGGCAGCGTGATGCCTTGCTTGCATTGCTGCTGGTCATGGGGATAAGGCATCTTTGTGCAAGACAGGGTAGTCTAAAAGAAGCACCAAAGTGTTATGAAACACGCAATGGAAATGCGGTACAACCAGAGCCAACCCGCCTGTGTCTTGGGAGACCAATGGTCTCTCAGAACGCACGTCGCTTTACCCTCTCTTCCGCCTTGGGATGCCAACCCACTGCTCATGTCACCTCTGCATCCTGCCTTCTGAGCCCCTCTCTCATCTGCCTCCTCTCTGTTCCGTGCTTCCCGCACAGGCCTTGGCCAGCTCCCACAGACGCCTCCCAACGAGAGACGATCAAATTGTTTCGGACAAAATTGCCTTTTGTGCCCCCTCCCTAGCGCCGTCTCCAGAAGCATCACTCTGCCCTTTATCTAGTGTCTTCCCGCCAGCACCTTCCCTGTGAAGCTGCTCGTCTCGGTATCTGCCTCTCGCTGCCAACGTCCCGCTGGCGTATTCTAAAGCCCAGGGGAAAGGAGGCTCAGACACTAGAGGGAAATGTCCAGCCCCCGTAATACCGAGTGTCTCCACGGCAAACACGGAGCCCGATGGTTCTCTGATTCTGGGCTGACATCAGTCTCACTCTGTCGGTGCCCCCCAGGATTCCAGATGGTGTTGGTGAAAGGAGAATAGTGCCCATTATATTCACAAGCTGTTGTGCGAAGAATAAGCAACAGCAAGCATGGCGCCATTCGTTCTTGCACTCACCGTGACATGTGCCGGCAGCAGCCTCCCAACGAGATGGCTAATCTTACACTCACTAATAACGCGGCGGCTGGAGGAAGCTAAACTGAATGCGCTCGCCCCTTGTGCTGTAAGGAGCACGGCATACCCAGCCCAGGGGTAGGCGATAAACCAGAGGTGGTTCACCAGGGGTGGCCTCTGGCGCTTTATTTAGTTGCGCGGTGTCTGTAGATAGAGCTGCTCGAAGCACCCGTTGGCTGTGGATCACTGTGCCCAGCCAATGGGAGCTGTGGGAAGCGGCGTGGGCCAGGACACCACTTCCTGCAGATGCCAGTGGCCGGGAGGAGCGATCTGTAGCCAACGGGAGCTGTACCTGGAGACATGCAGATAAATAAAGCGCCAGCAGCCCGCCAGGGCTAACACCTGTCAACCGCGTAGGCCTGTGGGCTGATGCAGATAAATAAAGCGCCAGCAGCCCCCCAGGGCTAACACCGATGAACCGCGTAGGCCTGTGGGCCACTCATTGCTCACCCCTGCCCTAGTCAAAGCAGACTAGAAGGAAGTTCTCATATAGCCCCCAAGTGTTGCAGTAGGCAACTGCACAGATGGATTATGGGAGATTTCCTGCAACCTATGAAGCATCAAGACCTTCCACCTACAGAAGTTGGGATCCAACAAAAGAAATTCCCTCTCCCACCTGGTCTCTGCCTTATCCTGGGGCCAATAAGGCTGCAACATTGCAAATAATGACAAACTTAGCTAAATCTGTTATCTGCACCAATGGCAAGTCCAGTGTCCATATATTGCTAGGAACAAGCTACACATACCTAGGGGATTGTCATGTATGTAGCAGCTCAGGGTATATTAACACCTAAAGCCAACATTCGTTGGCAGGCGTGAAGTTGGCTTTATCAAGGATATTTTTACTCTTTCTTCTATTCACTACCACCAACATCCACAAATGTCTTTAAAAGTGGCCTCAAGACTCCTTCAGATCGCCAGCCTGCGCTAACCTGAGCGCCCACGGAAAGCAAAGCACAGCTCCAGGACCAGACTTACCCAACTGCCCAAGAAGAAGGACCATGCAGAAGTCAAGCGGCTAGTGGTGCTCGGAGGCGAGAGAACTTTTATATAGTCTGCAAGCCCTGCCTTCTGGAAATGAGACAAGCCCCAGGTATGATGAGCTCACCCTTTGCATCCCACGAGACTCACGTATTTCCTCAGCTGACCTGTTTCTACATTGGCCTGGTAGGACACTCCCTCATGTACCGATGGGTGTTGTATAATTTAGCCTGATCTCCTCCCTGACTAATTGGAATGGCAAAAGTCACCAAAGTGATGAAAACAAGTGATACGTGGGCAGACCCCACCCTCACCCCAGCTGCAGTCCAGTCCTGCTGCAGTCAATGGCCAAGGACATCAACGGGTTTAAATGGACATTCATTCACTGGAGTCAATGGAGCCAGGTCCCTTGGCCACAGAGCAGGACCTGTCTGGAGTTGTTTAAATGTGGCTGCATTTAGAAGTCTGGGGATTGATTGGGACTCCACTTAGGCCAACCTTCCAGGTGTAGTGCAGACCTGGCCTAAGCTACTAAGCTCGAGTTACATAAATAACGTCTCTGGAGCCGATTTACCATCTGCACTACACCTGGAAGGTTGGCCTAAGCTACTAAGCTCCAGTTACATAAATAACGTCTCTGGAGCCAATTGACCGTAAGCAGAGCTTGGCACTGTCTCCACAGCAGGAGGTTGATGGGAGAAAATGCTCCCCTCGACTTCCCTTCCTTGTGAATCGAGGAGTACTGGCATAGACCAGGGGCAACTTCAGTGTTTGATTTAGCAGGTCCTTACTAGACCCACTAAATCAAATGCCAGAATATCGATCTGCAGCACGGCACATGGAGAGGTGGCCTTAGCTGGGCCATTTCCCAGTGAATTCATTGAAGAGACTCCTGATTTGGCTCCAACGTAAGTAAGAGGAGGATTTTTGTCCTTGGTCTTTTGAGACTGGTCCAAGGAATAGAAGAGTTTGTGAAGTTGAAACGTCCTGCGAAATGCGGCAAAACGGATTGGACGTCAAATAGATGCAAAGGTCTCTGGTTAAGTTATTGGACTGTGAGCCAGGATTCCTGGGTTCATTCCTGCCAAAGGAGCCTCAGGGTTCTGCCAAAGTCTCGCCGAGTGACCTTGGGCATGTCCCATTGCCTGTCTGTTCCTCAGTTTTCCTATATGTAAAATATGAGCACTGGTACTTCTCTGTTTCACAACAGTGGTGCGAGGCTAGGTCATTCATGTCCATGGGCCGGTCAGTTGTTAGGGTGATGATGGAGCATAGAAGTGCCTGGCTAGAATGGAGCTCCCTATAACCGTGTGGATTGATATCACCTTGCACCTGAGAGAAGGGGGCAGAATTCTACCTGTGGAGATGAGAAATTAATTTTCAGAATCTAAAATATAATTTTCCCTTTTTTATAAAGAGGAAGACTATCCGGCTTTTCCTTTGAAGTCAGATGCTCTTGTGTGCCAGTGATGAACCATCGCATGTTATCTCTCGTTTCCAAAAAAATCTGTCACGTTATCCAATCCATTTCTCTTTCTAGACAAGAGTTACATTGGTGCTGATCAGAGCATAAAAGGCCAGATTCTGCTCCTATTTGTAGGGGTAACAATCAATGTTCCTTTGATTGTCTCCGGGTGTGATTTGGGGGGGGGGAAGCGCTGGGTCAGGGCATAGAGCTAATCATGGGCAAAGTGCTGTCAGCTCGTTTGTTTGAGTGTTCCCCAGGCAAATGCTTTGAAAATTGTGGCAACGCAACAGGAAATCAGTGGGGGGAGGGGAGGGCATGCAACACGGGAGCAGACTCGGTCAATGGTTTCTTGGCTGGAATGTTTTATCTGTGGAAAACAGCGTCTTGGCACAACGGCAGCGTTCCCTGCAGCACTGCAGGTTCCCACCACAAAATAGGGGTTTTTAAAAGAAAAACGTTTGATGAAAATGAAACCTTGTTCATTGGCAGAGCGATATTTTTCGTGGTTGGGTGGAAGGAAATAGGGGTTTTTAAAAGAAAAACGTTTGATGAAAATGAAACATTGTTCATTGGCAGAGCGATATTTTTCACGGTTGGGTGGAAGGGGAGGGACGATTATTTCCCCACCTGCCCTGGAGAAGAGGGATTAATTTCACCATAACTGATCGTCGTATGATAACCACGCCCATCAGTCTTAATCGTTTGATGCAGAGATTCTTATTTGGGCTGCAAGGCCTCCGTGAAGCAACGCTGAGTACTCAAGATGCAATGCCAGCATGGCGGCATTCTTGAGACATGTGGCAGGAGGGGCAGCTCCTAGCGATGGTGTAATTTCCTGTTTGCAATCCTTGTTTTTCTGTTTGTGGGTGGGGCTGCTGGGTGGGACGCTGGTTGTTGGGGCTCCTGCAGCTTCCTGGTTTATTTCATCTGCAGGAGAGGCCCTCTTGTTACCTCCCCAGCCCCAGTGGGACAGGAGCATCTGCTTGGTCTACCCTGAAGGGGTGAACTTCAGGTGCCCATCTCCAGGCCTCTGTGCCATTTAAGTCTTATGGGGCAGCCCCTCAGCTGGCAGGGAATGTCACAACCCCACTGGTCAGCAGACACCGGCTCAGCAGTGGCCTTTGGGGAGTTACTGGAATTTACCTGGCCTTTCAGTTTGTGTTTTTCTTCATTTTGATCTTTGCTCTGGGGCGGGGCTGCGGAGCGGGGTGCTCAGGATGCAGGAGGGAGGACGACCCCAGCCCTCTGTCACTGCAGCAGCACCTCGCTTTGGCCACTGCAGCTTCATCAGGCACAGCCGTGGGCGGGGTGTATGTTCTCTGGCTGGGGCAGATCCAGATTCATCTGCTTCCTGGGGTCCCCAGCCAGAGTGAGGAATGCAGCAAACTGGGCACTTTCCCCTCGCTCCCTGACAACGGGGGGCAGCCAGCAATGTTCAGCTCCCCCCACCATGAGCACTGGCGGGGGGGACTCAGGGCTGGAACATACCCCAATGGGGGGTGGGATGCACACTCCCACCCAACCCCTGGCACCTGACTGGTGATTCTCTCTCTTTTCTATAAGGTTTCATGAGAAGCAATCCCATTCCAGGCCCATCCCATTGTCCGGCACAGCCAACCCCCTCTCCTTGGGGGGGGAGCATATCCAAGGAGGGGGGCGTATCCAAGCTCTTATCATGTAGGAGGAGTTCTTGAATAAACAGCCAGGCAGATGGACAGCAGACAGACAGACAGACAAACTCTCAAAGGGTACGTCTAGACTACAGGCTTTTGTCGACAGAAGTTTTGTCAACAGATACTGTCAACAAAGCTTCTGTCGACAAAGAGTGTCTAGACGACATCCAGTTCTGTCGACAAAGCAAGCCGCTTTGTCGACATGACAGTGTAGATGCAAAGGACAGTGTAGATGCAATAACGCCTTCTGGCGACAGAGCTCTGTTGACAAAAGGCGTTATTCCTCGTAGAATGAGATTAACCGTCGTCGACAAAACTGCCGAGTTCTGTCAACGTTATGTCGACAGAACTCGGCGGTAGTGTAGATGCAGGTATAGTTTTGTCGACAAAAGTCCACTTTTGTCAACAAAACCCTGTAGTCTAGACACACCCAAATATATACACGAGAATTCTGGAATCCTGGCTCATCATCAACAATAATCCTGGCTGGCTTATGGAAAATCTTTCTTGTAAGCAGAGATGCTGGAAAATGTTCCAACCCAAAGTAAGTGTGTGTGTGTGTGTGTGTGTGTGCGCGTGTGCGTGTGCGTGTGTGTGTGTGCGTGTGTGTGCGTGTGCGAGTGCATGTGTGTGTGTGAAGAGCAGGTTGAGTGGTGCTTCAAAAAAGAGCTAGAGAGATTCATGGAGGTTAGGTCCATCGATGGCTGTTAGCCAGGCTGGGTAGGGATGGTGTCCCTACCTCTGTTTGCCGGGAAATGGGTGACAGAAGAAGGATCACATGAGGATTCCCTGGCCACTGTGGGCAGACAGGACACTGGGTTGGATGGACCGTTGGTCTGACCCAGCCTGGTCGCTCTTATGTTCGCGGCCTGTCATATACAAGAGGTCAAGCTACAAGCACTGGTGTCCTTCGTTTCTCCACCTGCAAAGTGAAGATTTTTAAGCTGCCCTCTCCTAGAACAGGCTGTGAGCAGAACGGATTGAAAAACCGGGCCCATTTTTGGGTGAAAACGTTTCAGAAATGGAGTCAAATTTTTAAAAAGTGGTGAACTCTACCAAGAAACCACATGTTGGGGGGTTACAGTTTTGGATAATTTTGAACCAGTCAAGCTGTGGGTCTTAATTAATTAGTTACAGTTTTATGACATGCTTTGCCGATGAACAGTAACATCAGAATAAAAGAAACAAAAACAACTGCTTTTCTCTGTTTGGGGATTTAGTTACCTTGTGAGGGATATTTTTCCTTAGACTAAAAAAAAACCCAAACAAACCCCCAACCCTCCTCCCAAAAAACCCCACTCAACCCAAAAAAACCTCCAAAAACTAAAACCCTTTCCTCTAAGGTGTAAGTACTTTCCCCTCATCTGTAAATTGCATTAATAATAATTTGGCAGCTCTGTGTGGTGAAACTTGTCTTAATCATTATTCAAGGAGCTGTGAAAAACAGCTGGTGGAGTCAAGCTGACGGCCTAAAGAAGTTAATGCCTCAGTTCATCTGGTGATAGTTTGTGGCATCTTTTAGGCAGGGGCTTGGTTCTAGCAATAGATACCAGTTCCATGCCACTGTAATTCCATCAAATCCAATTCGGAGTTACCCTTGCGAATGCAGAATCAGGCCTGGGAGTTGCTGACTGAGAGATGAACCCTTTACGATAATGATTATTAATTATTTGGGACCTGGGCCCCAATGTGGCAGGAGCAGCTCAAAGAGCCAGTGAGAGTCTGTGCATCCTCCCGAGAGTTCACAATCTGCACAAGCAAAGGTTGGGAAATAGATCAGAGATTAGAATATTTGGACCAAGTTCACTCAGGAAGCCTGTGGGGGCTCATGGATTCTGCCTCTAGCCCCTACATCCCACTTGGACTGAAACATCTCCTGCATAGGAAGGGAAGGGTGAACTTGTGGCTGCCCCTTTTTTTCACC